TATTATTATTATTATTATTATTTTGACCGGTGAAGTTACTTGGATGAGTAACGAAACGTCTCAGATGAACAAACTTTGATCCAGTGGCCATGATTTTAGAGGCTTTTTAGATGCTTTTGGAGTTCCAGATGGCCTATGGGGCTACAAGATGGGACTTGAGTTCCCTATTCACCCAGTGGACTCATGAGGGCAGTGATGGAGGAGAAGCTGGGTTCAAGACCAGCTGCAGGAGCTCACTAGATGACTTTGGGCCAGTCCGCCTAGTTTGGGTGTCAGCAACCCACGGCTCTGGAGCCACATGCGGCTATTTGGGTCCTCTGCTGTGGCTCCCTGTTGGGTGATCCCACCATTGGCTGGCCTCACCTTCCCAATCACTCTTCGTCTGGCCTGAGAAGGAAAAACACAAAAAACAGAAATGAGAGGGAGGAAGGGAGAGAGAGAGAGAGACCCATTTCCCACAGAAAACACCAGGAGCCACAAAACCTGGGTAGGCGTGGTGTGACGGGGGGGGGGGGGTGTCATGTAACTTGGTGGGAGTGATGTTGAGTTGGCCATGCCTATCCAGGTTTTGTGGCTCCCGGTGTTTTCTGTGGGAAACAGGTCCAAATGGCTCTTTGAGTGTTTAAGGTTGCAGACCCCTGGCCTAGTTTACCTCCTATTGTTATGGAGAAAAAGAAAAATGGAATAGGAGATGCTCTTCCCATGAGCCTCTGGAGGAAAGCTTTAGGTGAAGGCTCCACACGTTCAGCTCAATGACTTTATGGTCAGGCTCCTTAGCATTGTAAAAGTGATCCAGCTTTGCTTTAGTTCTCTTGAGGTCAGCCCAGACAGAGTTGCCACTTTCTAAGAAATAATTACAGGGATGCGGTGGCTCAGTGGCTAAAGACGCTGAGCTTGTCGATCAGAAAGGTCGGCAGTTTGGCGGTTCGAATCCCCAGCACGCCACGTAATGGAGTGAGCTCCTGTCACTTGTCCCAGCTTCTGCCAACCTAGCAGTTGGAAAGCATGTAAAAATGCAAGTAGAAAAATAGGGACCCCTTTGGTGGGAAGAAGGTGACAACGTTCTGTGCGCCTTCGGCATCTAGTCCTGCCGGCCACATGACCACGGAGACATCTTTGGACAGCGCTGGCTCTTCGGCTTTGTAATGGAGATGAGCCTCACCCCCGGGAGCCAGAAACGACTAGCATGTATGTGCGAGGGGGACCTTTATCTTTAAGAAAGATTTAAATAAATGGAGGAACATATGGATAGAACCTGATTCCTGGATCATCTTTCTCTCTGTCTAGTTTCAGAAATACGTTCTCCATCTCACATGAGTAATCTGAATCGCTCGGCGTCTCTCTGCTACCATGAGCGCACCGAGTCCATCTCGTCCAATATCAGTGGGAGCAACAACCAGCTTAATGTCGTCGCGAGTTCCCAGAACCTCTCAGACTTCAGTGTTCGTGCCCTTACGGATCTCCAGTATGTCAAGGTGAGACTTAGGCCTAAGCCTCCCGAGCGTTAAAACTCAACTGATTCTTGGTTTTAATGCATTCCAATATCAGAAAAGCAGATTTGTTTAAAAATAGAGAAAATTGGCTTGTTAGGAGAATGACTTCTCCCTTAACAAGCTGGTTTTCTATATCTATCTCAGTGGTTGCCAACCAGTGGGCCGGGGACAACTGGTGGTCCGGGGAAAAAATTTGGTGGTCCGCAGAGAAATGTCACCCCCAAAGCAATTAATCCAGGCTGCGTGGGAACACAAGGCTTGCATTGCGAACAACACGAGGTAGTAAGGGGAGGGGGAAAGCGCAGAGGAGGGAAACTTGCCCCACTCACCCCACGCGCTTGGCCTGCCCAGAGGCTTGAGGAAGGCTTCTGCAGGCTTTTGTAGGCTTTACAGGCCGAAAACTAGGCCTGTTTTCATGACTTCTGGTATTTCCGGAAAAACAGGAAGAGACGAAACGGGCCTAGTTTTCAGCCTGCAGAAGCCTGCAGAAGCCTTCCTCAAGCCTCTGGGAAGCCGAAAAAGGCCTCAAATCTGCCGAAAATCAGCTGTGAGGCGCGCGCATGCGCAGTGAGGTAAGTTTGCCTGCAGCTCCTGTTGCACACGTGCCATAGGTTCGCCATCACGGTTCTAGTGAGTCATTATGGTGACTGTGTTGTGTCATTGTTTAGTATCAGTTTGTGTGATCTTGTTACCTGACCCTGAGTATACGATCGACTGTTTCTTCAGCCGAAAACAGTGTGAATTGCGATCAGTTGACCATAGTATGCTAAAAACAGCCATGGCGTAGGGTCTCCTGCTTGAGCAGGGGGTTGGACTAGAAGACCTCTAAGGTCCCTTCCAACTCTTAATATTCTATGTTCTATATTCTGTAAAACTGGGCCGGTTGCCAAGCAACCCAAAGTGTAGTTGCGGGACCACAAAGGTGGGCCCAGACATCGGAACATCGAATCTAGGTTGTAAATCCCATTTTCGAAGCCCATCATAACTTCAACTCGTGGCTAAGTGGCCAGCCATAAGTTGAGGACTGCCTCTAATGCCTAATTTGTGGGAGCTTCATCCCTGGAAGCTTTCGAGAAGAGACTGGATTGCCATCTGTCAAAAATGGGGTTAGGGCAGGGTGATAGATAGATACATAGATTTATTGTCATTGTACTCAGAACCTGAGAACAACGAAATAAGGTGCTCTTTCACAACATACAACTGAACAACACCAAAAGACATATACAAATAACAATGTAAAACAAATTAAAACAATTAACAATTAAAAACTATACACCAGAATATATATATGTTAAGACCACCAGATTCATAACTCTGCATTTAACCTGATCACAGCACTTGGGTAGAAGCTATGTTTAAATCTACTTGTCCTGGCTTTCAGCACTCTATATCGTCTTCCTGATGGTAGGATCTCAAACAACGAGTGGCCTGGATGTCAAGGGTCTCTCAAGACCTTTTGTATCTTCCTTCTACATCCCATGTTATACAAATCCTCCAATGAGGGAAGAGAACATCCGCTGATCTTTTGTGCCCTCTTTATCACTCTTTGGAGTGCCCTTTTCTCCGCCTCTGTACAACTCCTAAACCACACACAGAGGCAATAGGATAAAATGCTCTCTATAGAGCTTTGATAAAAGGCAACCAACAGACTCTCTGGCAGTTGTTGTGATCTTAAAAGTCTTAAAAAATACAGTCGTTGATGAGCCTTTTTTTCTAGGGCTAAAGTGTTTGCCCCCCATGTTAGATCCTGTTTCAGGGTGATACCTAGAAACTTACATTCTGCCACCTGTTCTACCAAAACACCATCGATGTACAACGGCTGGATATCCGAACTGCTCTTCCTGTAATCCACTATGAATTCCTTCGTCTTATTTATATTAAAAATAAGATTGTTTACTTTGCACCAGAGGGACAACTGATGAACCTCATCCCTGTACGCAGACTCATCATTATCAGAAATGAGCCCCAACAACGTTGTATCATCTGCAAACTTAATGATCTTATTACTCAGATGAATAGAGGTGCAATCAGACGTATAAATAGTGAATAAAAGTGGACTCAATACACAGCCCTGAGGAGTGCCAGTATTGAGAATCTTCGCAGAAGAGATATGTTCATTCATCCTAAAACTTTGTGAACGATGTGATAAAAAATTCAGTGGGGGTGGGGGGGACAGGATGGACTCCTGCAGCATCCGACTGGCCAAAATGAGGCATGGGGGGGCACCCAAGTTTCCCCCCGCGCCCCATTTTCGGCTCGGACAGCCTCCTGCAGAGCCCTGACGGCCAAAATGGGGGCATGGGGAGCAGAGCTGTGTGCCCAGCAGAGTCCTGCAGGAGGCCATCCAGGCCGAAAATGGCGCATGTGGGAGCCACATATGACCACCCCCCCCCCCCCCGGTGCCTCATTTTGGCTGCCAGAGGCACTGCAAGGCAGTCCTTTGCCATTTATTTGCATTACTATCACTATTACTATTAATCCTCCCATCCTTCTTTTCACCCATCCCCTCCCACTTGTGACTGTACTACTGTAACTTTGCCGCTTGTATCCTTACAATTTATATTGACTGTTTCCTAGTAGGATTTGATTGCTTATTTGTACCCTATGACTATTATTGTGTCGTACCTTATGATTCTTGACTCTTGACAAACGTATCTTTTCTTTTATGTACACTGAGAGCATTTGCACCAAGACAGATTCCTTGTGTGTCCAAGCACACTTGGCCAATAAAGAATTCTAGTCTAGTCTACTCTAGTCTATTATATTCTTCATTCCAATATTCTTATTCTATTCTAATTCCAATCCCTATTCCTATTCTATTCTTCATTCCAATATTCTTATTCTATTCTAATCCCTATTTCTATTCTATTCTATTCTATTCTATTCTATTCTATTCTATTCTATTCTATTCTATTCTATTCTATTCCATTCCATTCCATTCCATTCCATTCCATTCTATTCTATATTCTAATATTCTATTCTATTCCTATCCTATCCTATTTCCAGCCGTGAGTTGTGCTTGGACGGGGTGGGGGAGGGTGGGCATTGGACTAGATGACCTACAAGGTCCCTTCCAACACTGTTAAACTGGGATGAACAGTCACTCGCTTTCACGTTTCCATTATCGTTATTTCAATCATGCTTCTTCACCTGCTCTCCCTCTCTCTCTCTCTCTCTCTCTCTCTCTCCCCGACAGATCACACGCCTCCAGTACCAAAACGGTCTCATGGCCTCCCGCCTGGAGAGCTGCCCCCAATCCCCCGACGGGAGCCCCCCCAAGCCGGACCCCTCCTTGCCCGACAAGGGGAGCCCCCTCTCCAACAACGAGACGATTGGCCTCTTGAACGAAAAGAACTGCCAGCAGAATCAAAAGACGAACCACAACCCTTCTGACAACGTGGTCTGACCCCGGCCTTCAGGGCGGTTGAGCCTTCGGTCCAGCTGGCTTACTTTTCCCCTTTTCCCAAAGAGACGAAGAAGTGCTCGCCGAAGGTCTTGATTGTGCCGTCTCATCAACCTCAGGTAGCAGCTTCCACCTGCGCTCTCTTGGCACTCTTTCCGGCTCACCTGCCCTGTTTTTTTTTTTTTGTTTGTTTTTTTTTCCAGCTAGGACAGCCTTGGAAAGCAACAGCCCAGCCACCTATTCTAAGGTGAGTGCTGGGTCACCTGCAGAATTCTTCGTTCTTTCCTGCCTGCATCCAAGCGAGCTGGATTAGCAGGGTGAGCAGATTGTCTCTTCCCTGTGCTGGTTTTTAACTCAGCGGAGAGGAAGGCACGAAGCCAGGGGTACCTCAAAGGAGCTGCCTTTTTTCCCCCAGAGTGCCCACTTCTGCTTTCTGCCTTCCTCAGGTGGCACAGAGGAGGCACAGAGGTGTGTGGTGGCACAGAGGAGATACAGGCTTACGGAGATGCCAGCCACCCTCTCTTGATAAGACAGTTGTTTGTTTTCCCATCTCAGGGAGTTCCAAGACTTCGTTGTTTTGGGATTATCTCTTTTTTCCCCCTCCCTCCCTCTTTAATCAAGCCATCAGGGTATTTGAGAGCAGGGATAGGTGCCTGGCAAGGAAGAACCTACCCATAGTTTCCATGCTGGTGGAACCTGTCCCTTCTCCTTCCGTTTTAGGAGAAGGTTTGTTTTCCTGATTCAACCTGGGGACTCCTTTCGTTCCAGCTTTTTGACTCCTGCTTCAAGGGACCTGAACGAAATCAGGGATAGGATAACTTAACAGCAGGAAATCAATTGAAAGTTGCATCTGGATGTACAGATCAATGCTTCCTCCCTAAGTTTTTATTTTTAAAAAGCTTCTGCAAATAGAAGACTTAACGCGGCGAGATAAATGTCAGTCAGAGGTACAGCTTTTCCTTCGACGTACTTTCTACCTGCAGGGAATTGTCTTCCTTTGGGTTAAATCATTCTCGTTTTGTTTTTCTTTTTTTAAAAAAAACCAAAACTGGGGAAGATTTAAATGAATTATCCTCCCTTTTCTGTCTCCAGAGGTACTGTTCATTTTTGCCAACTCGAAACGGGGCTATAGTTCTATATAGCCGGTCTCAGATTTCCAGTTTCAAAGGTACCGTATGCATTTGTGTGAGTTTCTGGCACAGTCGATTTGTGGGATCAGTTTGCAGTGTTTGGGGTTTGCCAAGTGAAGGCAAGATTAAAAATAGGAACATGGGAGAACTGCAGCTGGGAAAAAAAAAAAAAAGGACTGCCATTCCAGATCTAAATGATTGGATCGTCTTTTTGGAGACGATTCAAACACCTGGCTATAGTAGCAATCAATTCCATTTTGTTATATGTATTTTTCAACCTGACTTGGATCCAACGTTCTCTGGGTTTAGCTGTGCACCTCCAGTAAACCATGTTTCATTGGATACAGGACAACTGAGTGAAATTATTTGATTATTACATTATCCAAAGATAATGTTATCCGCTTTGTTTTTCTGCAGCTTTTTTAACAATAATTGTTTTGCACCGGTTGGAATCCGAAATAGGAGCTCAGGGGGTTCGTTTTCAGCGGCCAAATATCGTTCAATTATACCTTGATATAATCACAATTACAACCTAGACTGGCACGTGATTTGGGGAACAACTTGGGGACAACTTCAAAAACAGCTTTTTGTAAACAAGACACTGAGCACCCTTAGTGGATCAAAGCAAATAGGCAAAAATGCCGGTTTCATGCGTTCGTTGGAACAGGTGTTGCCTCTGAGGCATCAATGCTGCAGTCCCAGGCCTTCAGAAGATGTTGCACACTTGAAAACCAGATGTTGAATTGGCACATCAGCTCTTCACAAGGCTGGAGAGCACTTATGAATGTACGCTCATGCAATCCCTCCCCTCGTAATCAGTTACCATTCAGAAATATCTTTTCAAATTTTGTTAACCGATCTGGGGAAAACAGAATGGTTTTGCGCATCCCGGCTGAACATTTCCATCCCTGTGTCTCTGCCGTCTTAGATTCTCGTGCTTTCTTTTACAAAAGACACCCCCACTTTTCATTTTGCTTCCTCTGACCTTCCTGGAGTTTTAAATTCCTCCCCACACCCCCTTTATTGGGCACAAGGACAGCCTCTATCCCACCGGAGAACCTCCCAGGATCTGTAAGGCTTCGCTCCTTTTCACCCCTAGATAAATGGGTGATATCAACCGGAGCGTTATGGGACTTGTAATGAAACACATCTGGAGGGGATTAGGTTCAAGATGGCTGCCTACCCTACCTGAACTCTTGTCTTGAGTTGGATTTAGATCACCCACTGACTTTATGAATACTTCTGTGTTATTTTTTTGGCAACGATATAGAAGTGAGTTCCCGTCGGTTGTTTTTTTCCCCAGGATTTTTTAAAAAGAATTGTCAGTCTAACTTGCAGCTTGGCATTATTACCTTGTGGTGTCCTCTTCCCATCATCACCAGATTTGACCCTGTTTTAACTTGTCGGGATCAAGCAAGGTCGGCCGTGGAAATCATGTAACTGTATTAAATTATTCCCATCTCGTTTTTTGCCCTGTTCTTTCCAGTTGAATTCACGAGAGTTGTTTCCTGCTCATCCTACCCTCCTCTTAGACACCTTACCTGTTACTCTTGTCATCTCATAAACGAACAAGAACGCTAATAATACTATATGAGCAATCATGCTACAACAGTGCTAATAGATGCCAACTATTATTTCACCTGCGTCACCTAGTAACCTCTAGACAATTAAGAACTTAATTAGGAATGAAGAAAATTAAAATAATGAAGAACCTTGTGGCGCCTTGTTTAAGAGAACCTTGTGGCGCCTTGTTTAAGGCACTTACTGCATTTATTGCAGAAGTGCGTTTTCTCCAGAACCTCATCAAATTCTGAGTGAGGTTTAATCAATCTGAAAGGGATTCATAAAGCAAAGATGCTTCCTACGTAAAGGGAAAAGTTTAAAGATTAATAATTACATCGTGCACAGCAGAGGGAGAGGAGCAGCCAACAGAATTGGGTGTTAGGGGGAATACTCGGCCCAGCCTAACATGTCTCCTCCCCAGAGAGGTTGCCCGTTGCATCTCTGTGCGATTCCTTCTTCAGGTGTTCCTCGTGCAGGAACTCACGCAGAGAGACCGATGGTGGGTTTTATTCTCTCTCTCACCTGTGTCATGGTTTATTTGGCATGCCGATTTTTATTTCATAACTCAGGATCAAGGTGCAGCTCTATATCCATAGGAGAGACACCTGCAAATCGATGTAAACACAACAGGGAACCTCTTGTAGGCCTAGTGCAGCCCAGAAGGAGTTTTTTTGGGGGGTGGGGGGAGGCTTCAGGTTTTGCTATAACGAAAACAGGATGGGGAAATTTTAAGCATCCAGGGCTGCTGTGGGCAGGGCAACGTTTCAAAGAGGGGAATTCTTAAAGTTTTCCTTTTTGAGTTTTGCATCTAGACAAGGGGAAGCTTTTTAAACTCAGTCTGCTCTGTAGAGCTTATAATTCTGTGCATTTTAGCGATGGCAGTTCATGCTGCCCATTTGCACAACTGCCATTTAAAGGAGATTCCAGAGGAGATTGTTGCCTGGCTTTTCCCTGGCATTCCCCCACCCCAAATCAGCTGGGGTTACAACGTGGAGAATTCCCATCTCCATTCTTGGAGATGTCAGACGTTCTCCTTTTAACAGTGCCAGACAATACCACGATGGAGGGGCTGGGGGGAAACCTAACAAGGGAAGGCAGCCTGAAGTTGCATTCTTGGCAAATCTGAAGATAAGCAAGAGAATGTAAGTTTGCTAATTTTGCTCCCAGCTGAAGTTTCTATTGAAGTAGAATTGATGGTCTAATTAAGTTGTGCAGCAGGACGGAGTACGGGTACTTTTTAGCATCAGCTTTGTCACAAGGAAGCCACCCTCCCTGCACAACTGCGTAAGGAAAAACGACGTGTGTCCGATTCTGCCTACGTTGAGCCTCAGCAGTGGGAGTTTTGCTCTTCAGCTTGGAGAAACCAGACAGTAAAACCAGTGGGTCTTCCAAGATGCAGGCATGAATCATTGGGAAGCTCCTCTTTAAAATTGGCCGTTGGTTTAGGACAGAAAGAAATGGTACCCAAAGTACCTTGCCCAACTTGCATTCAGGTTGAAGGCCGAGTTCAGAATGTGTCCCATTTTCCACGGGGAACATACAGCGTGATGAACGTGGTTCTCGTTTTCCACAAGCCAAGCCTGAGAGGTCAGAAATGCCACTTAGCAAGTTAGTCTTGCCCTTCCTAGTGGCTTGATCCAGGCATGATAGCCAGCTGTCAGATTAGGCTGAGCGTCTCGGCCTGAGTTTTGCAGCATACATTCCTAAAGTAGTTAGGCTCAGAGTAGGTGAGAAGAGAGCCGTGATGCTCAATTCCACTCCAACCCTCAGGCTACCTCTTCAACCAATTGTATTCTTTGCCAAGGAGCTTCCTCATGAATTGCTGTTTTGTTGAAGCAGGTGAAGTGAGCTTCCAACACCCAATGTCATTTCTGAATGTTGAAGCAGAAGAACAACCTAGCGTGGGGATGTTTAACCTTGGCAACTTTTGAGACCCTGGGGACTTGAACTCCCAGAATTCCCCACGCTGGCTGGAGAATTCTGGGGAGTTGAAGTCCACAAGTCTTAAAAAGTTGCCAATGTTGGACACCCCCTGGCTTAAAAAGCCAGTCCTAAGAAAGGGAAGATGTGTTTATGTGTGCGTGCGTGCGTTTGTGTTGAATTAAGATCCTTTCTACTGCATCTTTCTAGATGCAGGAATCTATTTTCTGAGGACTTTGGGGGGTGGAAATGACCCACTATCTGTTCCTTTTCGTTCCTCTCCGTTGCCATCCTGGCTACATGAACTTGGATAAGCAGAATTGGGTTTGAGTTGGGGTTTGGTTCTAGCAATACTTGATTCTGGAGTTTGAAAGAAATTTCTTCTCTCCCTCTGTAACTTAAAACAAACCAACTATGCAGGAGAGGCAGCTGGACCTACAAACCAGGGATGGATTCTTATCCATGTTCCTTTCTCCCTTGCAGGGATGTTATAAATGGATTTTTGCGCTTTCAGACAGCTTTAATTGGACAATACGTGTGTTTCCTTTGAATGTAGCTTTTGTTTTGTCTGACCATTAAAACATTTTGTGTGTGTGGAATCCCTTATTTCCCTTTTTAAAAACTATTGATGTTATTATTATTATTCCTACGGAAAGCACAATGGTTTCTCAACCTTTGCCCCTTTGTGGGTGACCTAATGTAATTTATTGTCTTTGTTTCTGATTTTAAAATACAAACACTAAGCTTTTAAGTTTCTAGCTCCCTTGGTGGGAAGATAACGCTGTAAAAGAAAGATAAAATAAATGATACCAAATCAAAGAGTGGTGGAAACGTGTTTTTTTTTCCTTGTCTTTCTCAGCCTTACCTGTTTGATAATTATAAAAATTATTCCAGGAATTGTGAGCCAGCAGAAACTTCCTTCCTGATAGCTGGCATTCAAGGAGGAATTGCTTTCCCAGCCAAAGGGTTTTAAGCTGGCCACTTCCTGTAATCATCATTAGCGAGAACCTTCATTTGCTGCTAATGCCAGCATAAAAGTTGTGTGAGGTTGTTGTTTTTTTCTGGTCAATTAAGCAACTATGCAATTTGCATCACTCAGGAGATTGATGACCAAATTAAATCCGAATGAGAAAATTAAACATTTTCAATATCAAAATGAACTATGACCAAAGAGTAGAACACAGAAACCTAGAACAACAGAGTTGGATGGGACCTTTGAGGTCTTCTAGTCCAACTCCCTACACATGCAGGAGAGAGTATATCATTCCAGACAAGTGGCTGACCAGTCTTTTCTTGAAAACTTCCAGTGATGGAGCACCCATAACTTCTGGTGGCAAGCTGTTCCACTGGTTAATTGTGCTCGTCAAGAAATTTCTCCTTAATTCCAGGTTGCTTCTCTCCTGGATTAATTTCCACCCATTGCTTCCTGTCCTGCCTTCAGGTGCTTTGGAGAATAGCTTGACTCCCTCTTCTTTGGGGCAGCCCCTCAAATATTGTTATACTGCTATCATGCTTAGTTCTTCTTTTCATTAAAGTAGACCTACCCAATTCCAGCAACCATTCTTTATGTGTTTCGGCCTCCAATCCCCTAATCATTTTGGTTGCTCTTCTCTGCACTCTTTCTAGAGTCTCAACATCTGTTTTTATATTATGGTGACCAAAACTGGATGTAATATTTCAAGTGTGGACATACTAAAGTTTTATAAAGTGGTACTAATACTCCATGTGAATGAATTAGTAAATGAATTCAATTTATTTTTCAGTGCACAGGAATGAAATCAAATACACCTTGTTACTTCCCCAGCCTCACCTATTTTTAGCTTCTTTTGGGAATAGAGTTGCCCACACACCATTCAGTAGCATCAGCACAGGTGACACAGCCACAAATTAGCCAAACACATGTGAATTATAGTGGTTGTGTGCATGCGAGCGTTGGCGGTGGCAGAACTTTCTAGTCATAACTTGTTTAGCTGGTGCCGAAATGTGAGTTCTCATATCAAATGACCTAGATGCCAGAGCTCACTGTAACAGCATTGCCAAAAAGGTATTAAGAGTTGTAAATCTAATCTTACGAAGCTTCTCCTCTGGAAATAGTGAATTGCTAACTAGGACATACACAACATTTGCCAGACCAATACTCGAATACAGATCGTTAGTCTGGAATCTGCACTGCATTTCAGACATTAATACAATTGAGCAAGTCCAGAAGTATTTCACGAGAAGGGTACTACACTGCTTGCAACAGAATATCCTACACCACCAGGCTTGAGATTTGGGGCTTGGACAACCTTGAACTACGCTGCCTATGGTTAGACTTAAGCGTCGCGCAGAAAATTATCTGCTACAATGTCCTACCAGTCATTGACTACTTCAGCTTCAACCACAATACAAGAGCACACAACAGATACAAACTCAATGTAAACCGCTTCAAACTTGATTGCAGAAAGTACGACTTCAGCCACAGAGTAGTCCATGCCTGGAATGCACTACCTGACTCTCTTTGTCACATCCTCTAACCCCCACTTCTTTAACCTCAAACTATCCACTATTGACCTCACCCCATTCCTAAGGGGTCTGTAAGGGGCATGCATGAGTGCACCATCGTGCCTACCATCCCTGTCCTATTGTCCCCTTTTACTCATACCTATTTCCTGTATTCCTGCTCATGTTTATACCTATACCTATTATCTTGTAAGCGATTGACAAATCAAATAAATAAATAAAAATAAAACTTCTTTCTAGTCATAACTTGTTTGGCTGGTGCCGAAATTGCTCAAGGAAAGCAAGGGTGATGAAGACTCCTGGTTTCCAAGGGAAGGGAGAAGTCTTTTGCATTAGAGGAGAAGCAAAAGTACCAACAGAAGGGATTATTTGTGGTTCAAGGATGAACTGCGGGGTCCTTGATGCTCTCTGAGCTTGGTTGTTTTCTTGCAAACATTTCATAACCCAACTAGGCAACACCATCAGTGCTGATGTTATCTGGTTTGGTAATAAAAGTCTTGAAGAAAACGACCAAGTTCAGAGACACCAAGGACTCCACCCAAAGGGGTTGAAAGCTGGCTTGGCTCTTTCCAGGAAAAACATGATTAGGCCATTAGACCGAGAGCTGTGGTGGTGTCGTGGTTAGAATGCAGCATTGCAGGCTAGCTCTGCCCACTGCCAGGAGTTCGATTCCGACTGCCTCAAGGTTGACTCAGCCTTTCATCCTTCCCGAGGTCAGTAAAATGACCCAGATTGTTGGAGGTTCTTAGAGAGGGCTGTAAAGCACTATAAACCACGTTTCCACGGAAATAAGACCCAGCCGGAAAGCAAGGCCTAGCATGGTTTTTAGGATGCTTGTAATGTAAGCCCTACCCCCCCCCCCCAAATAAGCCCCAGTTAAGAATGTCAGCCAGATGGACGGATTTAATATCATATTTTCCCAAAAATAAGACCTAAGCAGAAAATAAGCCCTAATGCAATCTTTGGAACAAAAATTAATATAAAACCCGGTATTATTTTCAGGGATATATGGTAAGTCTAAGTCCTATTGCTATTCGTAACTCAGGGCACGTAGCCAATTCAATTTATTCATTCAGTGTCTGTAGAGCTCAACCGAGTGACTCTGGGTGGCTTACCATTCTAAAATTAATAAATAAATAAAAAACTCTTAAAACAATCAAAAGACACTCATGCAGCAAAAACAGCCACAAAATAAATACCCTGTTTCTCCAACAATACGGCCTCCCCCAATAGGAAGTCCCAGCATGTTTTATAGGCATGAAATGAAATTAAGCCCCTCCCCCCAAATTAAGGCCTATATTAAAACATGCGAAATGGGGGGGAATGGTGGGGGGGGGCTTGCTGTTAGGAAGTACTTTTGTTGCACACCCGGATATGGTGCTGCCTGCGTTGACCCCGATACGAAGTGCCCCACCAACGCTGAGGTTAACATCCAAGCCGTCGCCGCCCGCCCGAAGATGCAAAGGGGGGGGAATTAAGTCACCCCCGAAAAGACGGCCTAGCCATTTTTTCGGAGCTCAAAAAAAAATAAGACCCAGCCTTATTATATGAGAAACACAGCACAAACAGCAACCGAGGTAACTATAATCAATTTAAGAATGGGCTTGGTACGTTGTGTGAATGCAGGCAATACGGTTACCGGAGGGATTCATTCCATGGATCAATGCGTTGTTTGAAGTCAGGATACTATTTAATTAGGTGAATCCAAAGATCCCCAAAGAAGGGCTCAGATTCATCTGTCCTCAACCAATCATTGCAAATTTCTGCAATGATTTTTTTTCCTCTCCAAAAGACAACCCTGCAGCATAATTTTGTTCTGGACAAATCCCTTCTTGACACAAATCAATAAACACTTTGCATAGCTTCTGATTATCACCCTATAGACTTGTTTAAAAAAAAAACTTGGGGATGTGGTGGGTACTCCCAGGTGTGTCCATTGTCTTCCTGTTGATTGATGCTTGTGTTATCCATGGTGGATTTATCTTTCTCCTGCTGCTGAAATACCCTCTCCGCAGTCAATTAAAGTCAAAAGTGACTTGATAATGGCAAATTATCCATCTTTGCAAATTGGCTTCCACCTGCAATTTATGGCTAGCGCCCAGACCGCAATTTCCCCGAGCAACAGCTAAAAACAGAGTGGAGAGGTTGGCGGGTGAGCAACGATAGCATTTGACGCAGACAACAAGGGCACGGATTATAAATGTTTTATAAATGTTTATACGTCGTAATCCATAGTTCTACAGAAACAAAACAATACTCTTCAACTTTCACCGAGACATGGTCCAAAGAAAGAGGGGTTCAGCCCATCTCTTTTAGCCTCCAGGAAATAGAACTATTTGACAAGAAAAGCAGCAATGGGAGGTTATTTGGTTGATTTCAGTTCCATCTTCGTCCCTGCGGCATGCGAAGAATAAAAGAAAAAATATCAAGAGGATGTTAGCTTTGATCTTTCTCCAGCCATTGATTCGGAGTAGGTCCAGCTAGGCTTCTTAATGATTGATTGACTAATGGATCGATTGATTTTGTTGTCGTTCATTTTTGGAAAACATCTGAAGTGAAGCACATCCAACCAACCAAGCACTCCAAAGCAAACCACAGGCTGGTTTCTGCTAAGGGATGCGATATCCTGAGGTATCCTGAGGTAAAAGTGTGCTGTCGAATTGCTGTTGACTCTTAGCCATTTCCACTGATGCATCCATCACAACTGTAACCTAGTTCATCTTCTTGGCACTGGTTGTCCTTTTCCCTTCCACTTTTCCCAGCATTGGAGCCTTCTCCAGAGAGTTCCATCTTTGTGTTATGTGTCTGAAATATAGGAGGTTGGGCATGATGACCTCTTAGGTACCTTCCAACTCCATTTATTTTATTGTTTTATAGGCCGCCCATCTTACCTCAAGGTAACTCTGGGTGGCTTATAATTATAAAAATAAAAACTATATAAACTAAGAGCATAAATACATTTAGTATAAAATCCAGAACT